TTTAATTTTTGATATAGAACCCTGCAAGTTTATATGAATGCTTGTGCCTGCTTGTTTTGTGTTATTTTAGGCCCCGCATTGATTGAGACACTATTGCATCGATTCCTGTTTGAAGCGTCTAAGCTCTGCCTGGACCGTGGTGCTGATGCTGGCAGCAGCGAGGAGGCCAAGATCATCACCGGCCAACCTCCCAGGTCAGTACAGGTTTGGAAATGCTGCTGCTGTACTGGTGACCTTATACGAGAGTTATGGACAATGTCAGTGGAGCGAAAGCTAGCAGGACTGGATGTAACCCGCCTGTGTGTGTGTGTGTGTGCACGTGTACATGCGTGTCCGTTTGCAGGTGCGATTCGCGTTGCCAGTCTGCGGCTTATTCGCTGCTGGTCACGCTAGCGCATGGCTGTCCAGAGAACCTGACATACTTGGTACACCAGCTGTTGACTATGCATCACCAGTTCAACCCAGAGGTTGCCAAACAGTGGGATGTAAGTACCAGTACTGGTTGTAGGTGTACTGTTGCTCCTCTGCCCCCCCCCCCCCCCCCACACACACACACAGTGACTAACGGATTATACAGGAGTACCCTTCTTACCAGCCAGGAGTGCTTCTTGTTGCTGAGATTATGCAGAGCTCAAATAATCCAACTTAGCCAGATCGCATAGATCAGGAATTCTGATGAAATGCCAACCGACGGAGCTGTACATTGCCATTGGGTGTGATGTGTAACTCTTGACAGTCCATATCCGTGTTTGTGTCAAGTTTGCCCGTCGTTCCTGGAACTTCTCTGATTCCTTTAACATCTTGCTTATCAAATTTCTTTCTTTCCAGTACATTGTTGTATGTTGGGCTACATGTAACAGCACGGCACTCTGTAACTTCTCTTGAAACACTGCTGGTGTGTGCGTGTGTATGTAAGTAAGTAAATGTGTGTGTGTGTGTGTGTGTGTGTGCCATTGCTGGAAGGCTAGTCATTCATGATCTATATTGGTCTGCTGTTTGTGATGTTTCCATCGCTGCATGACTCTTGTCTACACAGACTGTACCTCAGGTTGCCGAGCGCTCATCGAGTGGCTATGTTGGTCTGCGCAATGCCGGAGCAACTTGCTACATGAACTCAGTTCTACAACAGTTCCATATGGTCAACGGCATCAAGGAGGTGAGGGCTGCACTGCTCTAGGTGTTTTGCAATGCGTGCTTGGGAGGGCATGTCTTGACTGATGCTCGCTGTGTATATGCACTGTGTCTGTATGTACTATTACAGCAAACAGAGCACAAGTGTTCAGTTGCTTGATGGTGGTATACACTAGTGTTTAAACCGAACACGGATTCTTCGAACGAATAATCTATCGAATATTTTCGCCCACCATCGAACGAATAATCTATGTTCTATCATACGCATGATGGCATTTTTCAACACTTTTTCAGCACTTTTTAAGTATTTAAATTTTTTCTGCTGATTATCGGATTTTGTTATGTGGTGGTGCAAAACCGGTTAATTAACCTGTGCTGCCAAGAGTACATAACCCCCCAGAGTGTGCAACGCCTGATCCAGCTCTGCATAGGGTCTTGGTCGAAAGTGGTCAAAGACCGAAAATCACATTCACTGCATCCATGTTTCCCTCGTATGGAAAGAACAGAAGTAATACTAGATACCGATAGGAGATTAACTTGGAGGAGAAGAGATTGAGAAGAAATACTACGAGCAGATCTACGCAGTGCAATTATCAGCAGGGTCATCAGCACTGAGCATAGATCGTTTTTTCTTTTTTTCTTTTTTTTCTTTTCGATTTCTGATAATTCCTACGACTATTTGATTATTCGTTCACCCCACGAATATTCTAAATTATTCGATTATTCGATTATTCGTTTCAACACTAGTATACACTGATACACTGATTACGACCCCCACTGGAGACCTTTTGTGGCGTTATTTTTCCTTTGAGATGACTTATGGCGCGCGGAGGTGTGTTTATACATGTATGTGTTTATGAAGGTCCAACTGCTTCACCCAGTCCCAAGACAAAGCTGGCATTGCCAACGTCTCACCTGTCCGTGGCTCTTTGTGCTGTACTGTGCTCTTGCTGATTTAGGCTCTGCTTGCTGTCGATAGTGATGGACTAGAAGACAGCAACGTCTTCTTTCAGATGCAGTGCATCATGGCCTATCTGATGGAAAGCAAGCAGCAGTTCTACTCGCCGGACAAGTTCTGGTCATCTTTTAAGCTCTTTGGAGATGCTATCAATGTGCGCGAACAGCAGGATGCTTTCGAGTTCTTCAACAGCCTCACTGATCAGTTAGACGAGGAGCTGAAGGTCAGTGCGTGGGTGTGCGTATGTGTGAGTGTATGTGTGCGTCTGGGAGTGTCTGTGTGAATGTGTCTGTGTGCACTGTGCAAACAGTCTGCGAACTGTTTTCCCAAGCACAGTTTTAACTCGACCGCTTTACGTGGCTGCGTCTGCCCCAGTATGCTCTGCCAAATGCACCCTCATGTTGCTCCATGCAGCATGAGAAATGTTTGTATGGACATCTACTCTGGTGATAAGCAGAGAGATGGACAGTTCTAGCCGGTTTTATCATGCACTTTTGTCATCGGAGTGAGAATGTATTGTTGTTCATTGCTGTTTCTGTTTACAGAAATACAAGAAAGAGCCCGTGTTCGCCAAGTCATTTGGTGGTGTGTTTGGAGATCAAAAGCTGTGCCGTGGTTGTCCTCACCGGTCAGTGCAGAAATGCAGTGTTCTGCTGCTGATTTTGTTGCTGTTACTGCTGCTGCTGCTGCTGCTGCTGCTGCTGCTGTTACTGCTGCTGCTGCTGTTACTGCTGCTGCCGCCGCCGCTGTTGGCTTGTTCTTGCTCGAATGTGAACACAGCTCAAAGGAAACTTGGGTTGAGTTGCACAACTCACTCGAGCCGCTGTTGTGACATGTGTGCATGTATTAGTGCTCCGCTTCGTGTTATAATTATGTGTTAAGCCATGTCGTATCCACTGGCCAGTGGCACCCGCCTACCGTAATGTCGCGAAAGACGGCTGGGCTTTACTTTCAGAACCCGATGTCAGGGCTAGGCTTGGATTTAGTCAGGTATATCGATCTACATGTATGTCAACACTAAAACTAGGATTATGTGGCGACAGTGCATATTGAAATTCAGGCTTGTATTCAAAACAAGCTTCTTTATGAGACAGGCCTTTATACAAGGCTGTACGGTGCTGTACTTGCAGATTTAAATGTATGTTGACTGATTGTTGAGACCTGGGATAGCCGATCTCAGATGACAGGTGGTATTGGACGTGTTCGTTTATACACAGGCTCCCTCCACGCTAGAATTCCACTTCCATGCATATACCGTTCGATTACACTGATTTTACCTAATTCAACGGGAAGGTGGAATTTCTAGTCGAATGCGTCCATAGACTTTGACAGACACCGTATAGCTCTAGGAAATATCCAGTGTGCTGGAGTGTTGCCCTTGGCATATGCTGATGTTCTTCTGTTTTGTTTTTGTGGATTTTGCCTTTCAGGTATGAAAGAGAAGAGCCTTTCTGCACTTTGCAGCTTGGTCTGACTGATGGAAAGTTGAAAGAATCACTGGAGTTGTTTGTAAAGGGCGAGCTGCTCGAAGGTGACAATGCATACTTCTGTGAGAAGTGTGAGCAGAAGGTGAGCTAATGTCGAGTCTCTTCTTTCGCTTACCGGAGTCAGAAGCGGTGTGCCATGCGAGTGGTGTATGGCAATGGCTACTGATCTGGTTGCTTCTTTTTGTTAGCCAGCTGATGTGTCCCAGCTCGTTGATACTATCAAGAGTACATAACCCCCCAGAGTGTGCAACGCCGATCCAGCTCTGTGTAGGGTCTTGGTCGAGCGGAATCGGATCTTCTGATGTCATGCGTACACTTCACACCAGCGCAAGGCCGGTCTCGAGGCAGGGCACCATTGTTTTTGATCCAAGAGTACCCGCGACTCCCCGGGTTCCCCTCAGATGTGTACGGTATTATGACGCAAAGATCCGATTCCGCTCGACCAAGACCCTGTGCAGAACTGGATCAGGCGTTGCACACTCTGGGGGGTTATGTACTCTTGATACTATTCATACTATGCAGTGATGCTCCATGAAATCCGCCCATGAACAGCATAGGTTAGCAGCAGGCACTGCTGTGCAGCTTTGTCACTGCACAGGCACTGGACTGTCAACAGGAGCAGGGCACAGGCTTTGTGTTCTGCAGGGGTGTGCAGCTTTTGCCTTTACTGTGAGCATGAGGTTTCCCCTGCGTGTGTGTGGGTGTGTGTGGGTGTGAGTCCATGTATGTAAATGTGTATGATTGACATTGATTGTGTACAATCATCGGATGAATTCTGTTGGCTTGTTTTGCATGTGTGTGTGTGTGTGTGTGTGTGTGTGTGTGTGTGTGTGTGTGTGTGTGTGTGTGTGTGTGTGTGTGTGTGTGTGTGTGTGTGTGTGTGTGTGTGTGTGTGTGTGTGTGTGTGTGTGTGTGTGTGTGTGTGTGGGTGTGTGTGTGTGGGTGTGTGGGTGTGTGTGGGTGTGTGTGGTGTGTGGGTGTGTGTGTTTTGCATCTACCAGCGTGATACACTGAAGCGCATCTGCATCAAGACCATGCCAAACACTCTCGTTATGCAGTTGAAACGATTCTGTTTTGACTGGGAACAACAGAGGGCACTGAAATTTGATGATCACTTTGAGGTGAGCGAATTTTTGTTATGTTCTTCGCTATGAGTGTAGAGCACGTATCTTTATCTCCTACTGTTTTATTCTGTTTACTAAGTGGAGTGATGTATGGTGGTGATTGTTGCTGTATTTGACCAGCTGTCTGTTACCACACCATACCAGCCTGTGTGTTTCTATTCTTTCTTTGGTTTCAAATCTTTATTCTCATGATAGCCAGTGGCCAATAAGAGATAATAGTGTGAGTTGGTTGTTGTTGTTGTTGTTGTTGTTGTTGTTGTTGTTGTTGTTGTTGTTGTTGTTGTTGTTGTTGTTGTTGTTGTTGTTGTTGTTGTTGTTGTTGTTGTTGTTGTTGTTGTTTCAAATCTTTATTCTCACGATAGCCAGTGGCCAATAAGAGATGCTTGTTGTTGTTGTTTCAAATCTTTATTCTCACGTTGTTGTTGTTGTTGTTGTTGTTGTTGTTGTTGTTGTTGTTGTTGTTGTTGTTGTTGTTGTTGTTGTTGTTGTTGTTGTTGTTGTTGTTGTTGTTGTTGTTGTGCCTTGCTCTGTGATGTTAGTTTCCTTGGGTGATTGACATGGCTCCATACACGGAGGCTGGAATGGCCCTGAAAGAGAAGAATGCTGCTCCTGATACTGATGCTGCGTCACCTGAAAGCGAGGTGAGTGTGAATCTGTCGTGTTTGTGGATGTGGGTGTGGATATGTGGGGTGTGGATATGTGGGGTGTGTGGATGTGTGGGTGTGTGGGTGTGTGTGTGTGTGTGTGTATGGTACATGGTGTGTGTGTGTGCAGGACGTGCATGGTCCATAGAAGAGAGTGTATGGCAACGTTTTGGGTTTTAGTTTGTGGCTCTGAATGGTCATGGCAGGAGTGCGCATCACTTCCAGCCAATCATTGCTGGTAAGAATACTGAACTACAGGTACGGCAAGTGAGAGGCGGTACTTGCCGTGAAGACTAAAGATATTTCGCATTCAGTGTCCACTTCATGTTGGGGAGTCGCCTCTATCCTCTAGAGGTGTTCCCGTGTAAGACATTTGTGATGAGAATGAAACACTACTTGTATGATGTGCAGTGTATTGTGGACTACTAGGTCATGTTATACCCTAGTTGTATGATGTGCAGTGTATTGTGGACTACTACTAACTAGGTCATGTTATCCTGGACCAGTGAGACTTGTACATGTATGCAGGGCTGTAGGGACTGCACGTTGTGGTGTGACATGGGCTCTTATAGGATGTCCCATCTCTTTTGCCGCAACTGTAGGAAATTCTTTACACTGGTGTGGATCTGTATTACTTTACTGTTGAAGATTAGACTGAACGGAGCTGTGTGCTGTATGCTGCAAGGAGGTGGAAGTGTGAACGAAGCGTTCAAATTACTGTAGACAGTGGATTGTATATTTCTGAGCACATGTGCACACACGCACACACACACACACACACACACACACACACACACACACACACACACACACACACACACACACACACACACACACACATACACACACACACACATGCACACAGCTGTTTGCAGTAGCAGTTACTAGCACGTTGAGCACATGTGTGCGTTTGCTTTCTCTGCAGGTTGCGGATGCTACAAGCGACAGTGCAACATTAAGGACTTCCGTATCGCGTTCTAGCATGGACACGGCTGTTTCTTCCCTGTCCAGTAGTGCTGGTGATGCTACGAATGCTGATGCAACCGCCGACGACAATGATCAAGATATCGGTGCTGCATCTGACCAGGACGAAGCCACTGAGGCTGCTCCAGCGCACAGTGCGAAACTTACAGAACAGTGGTTTGAGCTTGTTGGTGTGGTGGTGCATAGTGGACAGGCTAACTCTGGCCATTATTATTCCTTCATCAAAGAAAGACAGTAAGTGCTGGTCGAGTGCTGAATGCCGCCGCCATGTTGCTTGCATTAGTTCTGGGTATTTGCAGTACTGCGCTGCGTTGTGCTGCGCTGCGTGCTATGCTGTGAACCCATGTGGAGGACTTTCTCACTTGTGGTCTCAAGCTGCTGCTGCTGCTGCTGCTGCTGCTATTACTGTGTGCATGTGCAGACTATTGCGTCTTCTATGTTGCTCGTATTTTCTTTGAAGTGGATAAGTGGGGCACATCCAGGGTACTTGTCGAAGTTCCGCTTTCGACTGTAGTACGGAAATGGCCAAAATTCCTTCGTATTTACAAGTTCAATACTCGTCCTGTTGAGAATGAGTCGGGCTGAGTGACCTTTCTCCTTGGGAAATAGCGTGCAATCATGGATTTGCACCTTCACGCCAACCTCTTGCACCCGTCGTTGTACGTATTGACAAAGGGTATCTGCATCGCAATCCTTCTGGAGGTTGCCCACGAACAGAACAGCCTTTCTTCCTGTTGGCTTCTTAGTGCAGATCATCTGCCATAAATTGCTGCCTTCCGCATCCTCTTCAAACGTAGGGAGCATTCTGGAAAGTCTTTGTTTGCCAAATTTGGCATCAGTTGGAGTACCTGGGTCCATTTGATGCACCCTGGACGCTTCGGTCACGCTGGTATCTTGTTCGGTACGTACAACTGAGGAGCAGGGTTCAACCGAATCTCGTACTAGTTCCTTTTGTGGGCAGCCAGCTACGGGTGCGCCAGAGCTGGAAGCTGCAACACGCTTCTGTTTCTTCTGGGATGTTTTTTGCACCGAGGGAGATCCTTGGCGTCTTTGGCCTTCATTGCTGTCGTCTTGAGCAGACTGCAAAGCTGTCATCTCGTTTGTGAGCTCTTCTACTTTCCGCGTAAAGTGGTAGATACGATTTAGAAGTCGTTTCTCCCTGTCCGCAGCTTCACTGCGGTCTAGCTCCAGTATTTCAACGATCTTCAGAAAGTAAGATTTCTCCATACTCTGGTTTGAACTTGACGTTTCGAAGGTGGGGGACACCAGATCTGCCGGACACTCGACATCTACTGGCGCACCTGTCGCCATAGCCCAGGACAGTGTTGTACCTGGCATGGGACGGTTTCTACACAGCTAAAAAAAAAGCCCTAAAACACAGGAGCGTGGGAAACTGCTTCCGACCTACACTGTAAAAAAGAGGGTTGGGCCATGTAAAATAATTATATTGATTGTTTATCGTCAGCTTTTCCCGAGAAATCGGGGCGGACGGGAGGTTTTTATTTTTTTATTTTTTGTATGTATGGCTGTAGGGTAGGTATTCGCAACCCCAGACTTCTTTGTTTTGAAGCCATTTTGGCGCAGAGTGAGATAAATCCATGTGATGCAGATGAATCGTCAGCCAAGAATAACATCTTGCAAGACCATTTTCAGGATTCTAATATGGAAAAGTGCAACAACCAACGTAGAAAAATGAAGAAAATCAGGCAGCTGATAATCAATTTCACTTTTCAAGCCCATCGCAACTAAATTATGGTTCAGTCTGTGGACTTGACGTTCGAAAATCTACGGCCATGCTGGTTAGAGGCTGTTGACCGCAGTATATACAATACATTTACCAGTACTAAAAAATAAAATAATTTGGCCGGGAGGGTGAAAATTCGGGGCGGGCGCGGACGATAAACTATCAATTTTTTACTTGGCCTTACGAACTGTATTTCCATGTTCAAAAAACTTCAAATCCCCTTCGCAATGAATCCTTGTGTACAAGCAGCGAACATGCCTGATGAAACGATGGCGACCACATGCCTTCTCACCATATGTATGCTCTTTCTCACATGTACATTGCTGGATTGTTCTGATCTCTTTTGAAATGTTGTTGCTGCTGCTGTTGTTTGTTGCTGCTGCTGCTGCTGTTGTTGTGGTGGCCAGGCCACGTACCAGCGCTGATGCTACGGCTGAGGATCTAGTGTGTCCGCCAGAGGAACGGGATGGTGCTCCTGCCCCATCGCCTGGCAAATGGTTCAAGTTCAATGACACCGTGGTAGAAGAATGCAATATGACTGATGAATCGTTGGAGCAAGAGTGCTTCGGTGGCTCCTACAAGGTCAAGAATTATGATGGAGGTCAGGGATTATGTTTTTTTTGTGTATGAGTGTGCGTGGTCTCCTTCTCCAGTTCATGTTGATATCTGTGCTGATACGGTGTTTTTATTGGCATTACTTCAGACTTTATCTGATGGGATGTGCTTATTCTGGTACTATCTCAGATCTGCTGTTTCTTTCTGCTGGCTGGGCATAATTCTCTGGATGTCTACTTCCTGCCAGGCTCTGTGTGAATATATTGGCCAGTATGGCATCCTCACTTCATGTGCATGTGTGTTTTCTGGAATGTTTCTTTGTTTTAGTTTTGGTGTGATGGATGTTGTTGTTTTCAGTGGCATACTCGGAGAATCGCCATCGCTATTGGAATGGATACATGCTCTTCTATGAAGCTATGAATCCGGACAAGCAGCAGCAGCAGCAACAGCAAGCACGCGATCGGCAGGAGAGCACGGGCAGTGACATGTCGTAAGTCCCAGAATGCACTCTTACATGTGTACATCGTACTGGCACTAGTGCTGTTGTCTGCAGCGCCGCCATGATACCTTGTGTCACTTGCCCTGCCAGCCGAGCACCCGTCCGCCGTTCTGGTCTCTGCTTCTATTAAGTATTATAAGCTACTACTAGTAGTTTGCATTCTTGCTGCTGTTTAGAGATGTGTTTAGCTTTGCAATGTGTTGTAGTTTGAAAGAGTATGCTGATAATAGCATGATATACATTGAGAGTATGCTGATAATAGCGGGATATACATTGAGAGTATGCTGATAATAGCATGATATACATTGAGAGTATGCTGATAATAGCGGGATATACATTGAGAGTATGCTGATAATAGCGGGATATACATTGGCACTTGCACTACACTGTCTACACAACAGGCAGATTGTGATGGGGCTTCATGTTTCACTTTGCCTTCATTGTCTTTTGCCTAGGTCATCGTCTCACGATGAAAAAGGAGGCAGTGGCCGACTTTCTCAGCTGGAAGCCCTAATTCGGAGAGGAGATCGGAAAGGTCTCTTTGCTGAAAAGATTCCCGGGCGCATACAGAAGATGGTGAGCCTGTGCATGGACTTACATGTAGTTCTGCTTGTGCTGGCTTGCTTTGCTTGCCTTGCTTTGCTTGCCTTGTTGTCTAGTCGCTGATCACTAGTACATGTACTGTGATCATGTTTGAATCCGTGTACAGTCAACTTCGCTAATAGCGACTGCGGATATAACGACAATTCGCGAATAACGACAGAATTTCCATGCCCAGAGCAAAGTCCCATCCCACTGTAATACACATAATGAGACTTCGGGTATAACGCCACTTCGCGAATAAGGACACCTTTTTAATGCCCCACCGAGTGCGGTTATAAGCGAAGTTGACTGTACGTGTAAAGTAAAATAAATTGTAATGCAGTATGTTGGTAATCTCTTGGTTTGTGGTATTGTATACGTATGTAATGTGTGTGTGTGTGTGTGTGTGTGTGTGTGTGTGTGTGTGTGTGTGTGTGCGTGCGTGCGTGCGTGCGTGCATGCATGCGTGTGTGTGTGGTTGCTTGCGAATAGCCAGCCCTGCCCGACAGCTGTGTAAGTGTGTAATCTGTTGTTGATGTATGATGGTTGACATCATTCTAAGTTCACACCGTCTTCACTGTTGTTTCAGGTGTACGAGGACAACTTGCGCTTCATGATCAACAGAGCTATGTACTGTCCCGAGTACTACACGTTTATTCGGGACTTGGTGCGCTTCAACTCGGTTAGTGCTACGGCCTAGCGGAATGGCATCTTGCTGTGTGTATGTCTGATGCTGTGTGTATGTCTAATCATCCGACTCTGATGCTGTGTGTATGGCATCTTGGTGTGTGTCTGTCTGATGCTGTATGTCTGTCTGATGCTGTATGTCGGTCTGATGCACATTTGAAATCCTGTAATTATAGGTCAGCCTAGAGTTTGTCACACGCATTTTTTTGTCTTCGACACGCACATCATACTATTGATGCAGTATCCTCCTCTCTCCCTGCCCAAACGAACGCCACGGTGTGTGTCCGGACCACACGCTCTTCCAGTATGCCAGCTTGCCGGCCAATACATGTTGTATGATCACTATGGTGTCGTCTCAACTATGATGCTTGGTCCCAAGTGATTTGATTCATGTGCGTTTCAGGAATAGCATTGTTCTTTGCTATAACACCTTAGTTGATCTCTACATGTATATAATGCTAAAACTCCCTTGTGTTGTGTTCTTGGTGTTGTTGTTGGTGTTGTTGTTGGTGTTGGTGTTGGTGTTGTTGTTGTTGTTGTTGTTCTTTGTTGTGCAGCACTATCACTCGGCTCCGCAGATAGCTATACCGTGCGTTCAGCTGTGTGTCGGCTATCTCTTCAATACCTACTTGCATCTGCGGGCGGCAATACGGTAGGTTATGGCATAGCGATGGTGGGCATGCGTGGTGAAACCTGGGTACCTGTTCTCAGTTGTATGAGTTTGTTCAGTAGAACGTGTTACTACACACATGTACTATCAAACAGTAACATTGCACTACTGTACCACTGGGCATGTAGCATACTCATACTCACACTCATACTCATACTGGCATTAAGGGACTTGGAGGTGAGTGGCGCAAGCTCAAAGTGGACGTTATCCACTGCGGTCCCCCATTTGTGGATAATAAAACAGCTGCATTGCGCAGTCAGCTTCCTTTGTCCTGCTTAAGCCATACTTCCAACCGAAATTCCAAGCTGCACTTCCTGGCTAGCTGCAATTGATTCTTGTTATCAAACTGATCATGTGTACATGTACACATTGCATTGATGTAAGCAACTGTGCCTGAAAACGTGTGATTGTGTACTTTTATCCAACATGTATTCTACTATAGATCCGATCTGAACAACTGGAGAGAGATAATGGAGGCACTTTTGAGAAACAGCCGAGAAGCCTGTGATTGGATCATCAAGTACCTGTGCACCGAGGAGGGAATGCGATATCTCTGGTAAGAATCACTCAGTGCAGGAATGATGCTGTGTGTGCGAGTGCATGTAGTGCGTGTGTGTGTGTGTGTGTGTGTGTGCGGGTGGGCGGGCGTGCGGGCGTGTGTTTGTGTGTGCATGCGTGCGGGTGCTTGTGGGTGTTTGTGGGTGGGGGTGTGGATGTGCGGGTGCATGTTAGGGGGGGGGGGGAGGTAGATGCTTCTTTCGTTTTCACTAGCCCTGCTCCCAAGTAAATTGAACTGATATGTGTTTATTCTAAGTCTCAGCATGGCTCCTATCAGTTCTGACTGTTTGTTTTCTTATGGCACACACTGAAAGTGGTGTATGTATACAATCATGATGTACATGTACATACTTCTCCCTAACCACATAGCCTGGTGTGGTGTGGATTTCTGCCCAGCCCTCTCCTACTGGAGTGTCCCGACTTTCAGGTGCGCGAGTTCTTCTTCTCACTGCTCGTCTACATATTCAAGGGCTACGCAGAGCATATCCGAACGCCGGTAAGAAAGGAGATGCAACCCACTGCTGTTGAAGTATGTGTGTGTGTGTGTGTGTGTGTGTGTGTGTGTGTGTGTGTGTGTGTGTGTGTGTGTGTGTGTGTGCGTGTGTGCGTGTGTGTGTCGCTTAGATTGGTGTACAGCCTCCATGGATGTGTCTAGTGTTGCTCTGTTCACATGACCAGTCACATGACATGCTTGATTGTACTGAGGAAATTGTCACATGACATGCTTGATTGTACTGAGGAAATTGTCACATGACATGCTTGATTGTACTGAGGAAATTGTCACATGACTTGCTACTTGTTACACGTTACACGTTTCACCTGAATTGGTGGCGCATGTAATGTGTGATGTGATTGGTGATTATGCTCTACCGAGAGTACATGAAAGCCATAGGGCGCAGCTCAAATGGACTGCTGTCACTGCGGAGAATTCCTGGATTACATCAGTTAGTATTGCAGTGCATGCGGTGCAGGGTTCAAACACGTCTCCTACTGCACAACTGCACTTTGTACACCTCCGCCTGTTTATCTGCATCAACTCTCATTTCATCCAGGAATGTCAAAGTAACAAGACACCCATACAGAAGGTGCCCACTCTCGTTTTTTGTGTACCCTTACCCGTACACTGTATATACTCGCTGCTATCCTGTTAATCTCCACCAATGTTATAATGTTACATATGTATACAATATCAGTGCAGCATGGATTGGCTGGCTCGTTTTGAAGTCAAGTGCTCATGCATGCCCTTCTGATACAATACATATAACATGCTTCGCTTTCTTGCAAGTTATAGCTGGCGTCAATTCTGGTGTGTTGCAGACTTGCCAATGCAAATATCCATTCTCTTTCTTGTTTTGTTTTTATAGGATCACCCTGCGGCCAATAGGTTGATACACAACTTGTTGACTTTCTTCGAGAAGGAGCTGGTGGACAACTGCAAAACGTCCGGCCAGTTCTTGCAGGTCTTCGCCGAGCTTCTCACCATGGTATGTGTATGCCATTGTGTGTGCGTGTCTGTGTGTGTCTGTGCCTATGTGTGTGTTTGTGTGTCTGTCTGTGTGCCTGTCTGTGTCTGTTCGTGTCTGTCTGTGTCTTTGTGTGGGGGTGTGAGGGTGTGTTTGCGCAGAGAACTGACAATCTTTTGATATTGGTGGCAATGATGACGTTGATGATGATGTTGTGTGACTTACATATACGGTGCTTAGGCAGCAGCCACATTCTCTAATCCAGCCATGCTCTGTTTAGTGTTGTGCTCTGATTTCAAGCTTTCTGCCTGTGTTCTCTGTGACTGCTTGTGGATGCGTGTGCTTTGCAGAAGTTTGATCTGTTCTCCGAGATACTGCTGCGGCAGAATGCGTTTGAGTACATGTGCCGATTTCTCCTGGGCCCGGTGCCTTCTGCTGGTGCTTCCAGTTCTGGTTCACAGCTAGAGACCAATGTTGACACAATGGTCAGTAGCATGATCATGTATTTGCATTGCCTAATTCTCTGCTGTCTTCCCTAGACTGTGAGCTGTTAGGAGCTGCGGCTGATTTTGCATAGAAACGTTCACCCATCAAGTGCACATTTCAAGGACATACAGTGCTTATGTTCGTCTTGTCACAGATGTTCCCATGGAATAGGCTGCTAAAGGTTTGATCATACGTACTTGTAGATCTGATCATCATACATACTTGTAGATGTAGATGACTACTTGTCCAGCACTGTAGTCTATAGCCAGCTGTGAGCCTCTGTGCTTCATCGCCATCTTGCACCAGCATCATGGAATCCAACCCAGCCCTCTCTCTCTCTCTCATTTGTAAAGTACTGTACCAGTATGTGCTGGTCAACGTCAATTTCTAGTCTTAAAAGATGCGTTTCTTACCGGGGTTGAGCTTCAATGGCACAGTTCTCTCTTCTTGGTTTTGTTTTGCGTGGCAGGAGACAGCGCAAGTGTACAGTGGACGACGTTGGAGTTCACAGCAGAGCCGTGACTTGCATGTGCTCTACTCCTTGCTCTACCAGCTTGTCTTGACCTGCAATGTAGCTCCTTATCACCAAACTACTCGTAAGTACCTGAAATAGGGTGACATGCAATCCTAGTGTCTTCAAGAATTGATCTCCCCCCCCCCCTCTTCTCTCTGTCTCTCTCTGTCTCTCTCTCTCTCTCTCTGTCTCTCTCTGTCTCTCTCTCTCTCTCTCTCTCTCTCTCTCTCTCTCTCTCTCTCTCTCTCTCTCTCTCTCTCTCTCTCTCTCTCTTCTGAAATTCTCTTTGAAGTATGAATAAAATGTATTGGCACCCACATTGTGTAGCTGGCATGCTGTCGGCACCATTGAGATCCAATTTTCCATGTGTTGTTGTTGTTGTCGCTGTCGTTGTCGTCCAGCAACCTGTGTACACATGCCGATGCCTGCAACAGCAATGCTTGTTCGTGAGGAGGACCTTCATCCTGTGCCCAGGGGCATGGAGGCAGCGCTTTTCGGCCCGGATAGTCAGAAGTTTGTGCGAGAGGTAAGGCGGCATTCACTGCGCTGTGTATGTAGTGCTGGTAACGTTGTAATGCTCTCCATTGGCTACTTGACTGGATTTTGGTAGTAAGGATGGGTGGTGGACCTGGTGGTGGTGGTGTTGTTGGTATTGGATTGCAGACAACACCTCAGAGAAGCTCTTAGGGTCTGTAGCCCTTGCAGCAACCGCTGTAACAGCTTTATCTCTGTGGATCTTGCCATGGTCAATGGATTTGGCGAGTTCTTTCTGCTTTATTAGTGTTGGCTTGATGAACCGTATTACTGGATAGTGCTCAATGTAATTACCCTTACCGGCACCCGTTTGCCATGTGTTGTGTTCTGTGTGCTTGTATAGCTTGTGTGGACATCACGAGAGCAGCCAGAGTCTTTCT